TTTTTCAAAGAGTATTTCCATAAAATAAGATAGATATAATTTTATTAACAGCTGTTGCATACTAAATATTAAGAAGTTTTAATCAAAACATTCCTACAGGGCCGGGGATTTAGCTCAGTGGTTCTGCCACCTGCCTCACAAGCACAAGGTGCAGAGTTTGATCCCCAGTACCAAAAACAAACAAACAAACAAACAAAATTCCTATTAACATATGAAACAAATAAATTATCATTAAGAAAAAGTGACTGTACTAATGCTTTTAGTAATTTCACGGTAGTGAACATTCAAATGACACTTGATGCAGAGACAATTTTATGTATGAAGAATAATTTCTACACCATATAGGTATATCAAATCTACACAAGGGAAAATGGGAAGAACAGAAGAGTCTAGAGGTCTCAAACAGGCATATTATATACTTTTGTTTGAAGTAGAAAAGTTCCATAAAATTCTTTCTGCTCAGTTTTAAACTACTGAACTATGACGACCGACAGATGTATGAATAGTGTCATGTCATTTAAATACTCATTACAAATGGTTACCTTTCATCAATATTTCTTATTGCATCCAAATAGTAGAATCTGTAAATAAATGTTCTATCTCAGATAAAGGTCTAATATGTTACAAAAAGATCCTTAAAACACAAATTCTATTAAGTTTTAAGGACAGAGAAATTCTCTTACACCCTCTCAATATTTTTAAATAGAAGTCGTAGCATGTGATTTTATTCAATGGCATAAGATGTGAGAGACTAGCTCAGAAAATATTTTCTACAAGACATGTAATTGGCAGCTAGTATTTCTCTACTTGCAAAAGAATAGACCACCAAAGTAGTTTAGAGTATAGTGGGCAGAGAAATTTTAAAAAGAAAAAAACCTGATAACCAATCACACTCCTAAAATTTAAAGGCAACAATTGCAGAGAAATGAAAGAAAAGTGACTCCACAAGGAGGTCTTTCTAAGGAGAAAAGGGAAATAGCTAAGTACTAAGAGGTCACAAGGTACAGCAAACACATAAAAAAGCTCCCACTCATTAAATTTAAAGATCTGGTCTTGAAAGAGCAGGGTTTTTTTTTTACTAAGAGGCTTACCATTTGTAGAGGTTTTTTTAAATGTAAAAAGATTTACAGTATTATTTTGTTTTCTGAAGAATTTTCCCATCTTTAATTTTATACTATAAAGAATGTTATCAAAATGGCATCTAAACAAATGTGAAAAGCAAGATGTGTTATTCAAACATAACCAAAAATCTGAGAGTTTTAGGCTTGCATTTGTTACTAAAGAAATATTCTATTGTCTTCTTGTAATAAAATTTATCATACTTCTCACCAGTATTATTCAGATTAATACTGGTTCTCACTCTACTGCACTACTATTTAGTAAGCACAATTGTAGTTGTCAGCAGCCATGGCAGCTCACCCAGCCCACCTCCTAAATGTCCATTACACTATCTTGCAATGGCTATTCCTATGAGCATTGGGGAATTAAAAAACAAAACAAACAATTCTCACTCAATCAGTTTTACATAAAAAAGCAAGCTGTCAAAAGAAAATAAATATTGAGGGTAGCCAAAAATATGAGGAAAGTCAGAAACTGGAAAACATTTAATAGTGAAAAGAGACTAACAGAAAACATAGATTTGACTCGCACTCCTTCTTTGGCTAGTTGTAAGAACTAGGGAAGTCACAAACTTTGAAGTCAATTGTCCCATCTGTAAAACAAGGGTTTTGAATGCCAAAGTCTCTTTTAGCAATAAAATTCTATGGTTCCAAGAGAAAGTAGCCCAGAAAAAGAAATAAAAGGCATCCAAATAGGAAAGAAAAGTAAAACTATCACTGTTTGCAGACGATAGACTCTTACATGTAGGAAACCATAATTCTGCAAAAACAAACTCAAAATGATAAAAACCCTCAGGACTAACTAATTTAGCAAAGCTACAAGATACAAAGTCAACATACAAAAATCAGTTGTATTTTTATACACTAACAATGAACAATATAAAAGAGAAATTAAGAAAACAATTCCATCTACAATAGCAATAAAAAGAATAAAGTACTTAGGAATTAACCAAGCAAGTGAAAGACTTCTACAATGAAATCTAAAAAGTGAAATGAAAGAAGACATGAATAAATAGAAACATTCATATTCATGGACTGGAAGACTTACTATTGTTAAAATGTCAACACTACATTAAAACAAGCCAGTCACAATAGGACAAATAATGTATAATCCTGTTTATATGAGGTATTTGGAGTAGTAAAATCATAGATATAGAAGGTAGAATGGTGATTTACCAGGATTGGGTTTGGTGTGGGGATGGGGTGTTTACTGAATGTAGATTTTCAGCTTTACAACATGAAGTGAATTATGGAGATGGATAGTTGCAAAGGTGGCACATTATGAACTTACTCAAGTCAGCCAAAGATATTTATTATAGAATCTTTGTCAAGAAAGTTCTTAGAAAAAGAAAACAATAAGAGCAAAAGAATCAGGAAAGATAAATTGCCAGAAATAGATGTCTTTCCTTAAAATTGTTCTAAAATATTACTTAAGTAAAATAATTTAATGGAAAAGCAACATGAGTTTGTGTGTGTGTATGTATGTGTGTTAATGACTGTGATGCATTATCATGGACCAGCCAATAGAATAGCCTCAGTTTCCAAATATGTATTATACTGCAGAAAAAATTAGCTGTAATTAACTACAAAGACATAAATCTGAATAACTAATTTTAATGTACTGCGATCAAAGAAAGGAGCAATCTTTGGTAATTCAATGTTTTTGTATTGTAAAGCAAGAAAAATATTTTTAATCTACCCAAAGCCTACTAAAAACACAAAGCATTCTCCATTAAACTGATCATAGGTAATAAATTATGATGAATGTTTTGGGTTATCTAAAAGTTATTACCATAAAACATTTTGGGCATGAAAGCATTTCAACTGTGCAATTCTATCAAGCATGTGTTTAAAATTTTCCAGTCATCTAAGGGCGCAAAATTATAGTAGCTAATTGGCTATACCCAATGAAGTATGTTAACGTGATAGGAAGCTCCAATTTAAAAGCCAAATTTACAATTTGAGAATAGCCAAATTAAGGTTGGTGGTAACTGAAGCATAAGAGATAAACTCGATAATATTTTACTAACAGGTAAGGATTTACATTTTCAAACCTTCAAGAAGCATAGGCAATTTTTTAGGTCATACCCAAAACACAGTTATAACAGACATTGAAGCCTGCACTTTTTTTCCCAATAAGTGTATATGGTTTACTGACAAAAGCTGAGTTGGTGATGTGCAGCCATGCAATGCAGAAAGAAGTAGGTACCTCCCACCTAATCCACCTAGTAATACTTAAAGGAAACATCCAGGTGCTGGGGATGTACTAGCTCAGGGCACAGCATGTGCCTACCAGGCATGAAGTCCTAGGTTCAACCTTGAGCACAGTGTAAAAAAAAAGAAATATACTCTCAAAACTGCTTGGCAATTTCTAAAATTCTTTTAACAAGGGAAAAGGCCTTTCAGTTTAAAAGGATTTACTACAAGCACTTGATAAAAGAGTAAAAGAAACATCTAAAATACACTTCTAACACTGACCTCTCTCATCCCTATTTGATTACAAAGGTTGCCACTGACCTGCCTTCTATCTATCATAGCCAAGTAAATTAGGTAGAAATTAACAGGCAGTCAGACAGGGCCAAGGCCCTGGAAGGAGTCAGTACAGAAGATGAGAACACACTAAAACAGTGACAGGAGGTGCATCCAAAGAAGGTAAGACCTTGAAATTAAATGGCCAGATTTACATACTTCCCTAAGGGATAAAAGGAAGTTTGTAATTAATACCACCCTTTGGGATTTCCCAAAGACCATTAGCTCACTAGGGTGGATCATCCACTCCCATCCACTAAGACCAAGGTTAAAGACAACAGATTACCAACCAAGGTTAATGATGTCATTCATATGCCCTTGTTGTTTGCCTTGCTTCACTACTGGATCAATGGAATTTAAAAATAAAAATAAAAAATCTAACGACTGAGAATTGGGACTCATCTATGTAATTTTTTCCAATAAATAATATTATTCAGCGCTGTCATTCGAGCAGTAAGAGCCCAGTCACAGAGGAACAAACAAGAGAAGATAAATTATGAGGTTAACAAAATTTATAACCCGCATTTGTTGTAGCAACTGACAATCTAACGTGACCCTAATCGCACGCGTTTTGCATTTTTATTACTGAAAAGTTTGTAAAGAACCAAAAACTGGTTAAGCACCCAAGTGATAGTCTCACTACCTGAAAAGCAACACTTGGTCATAAGGAAAGTAACCCTTGCTATTTCCTGGCTTTTATTTCTGGTCACTACCTAGAGTTCCAAACTGACCTATACCCCAATAGCCTAGAAACAAGAACACCTTTTCCGGCCTCCCAACATTGATTCTTCACTTTAATAAGCCATCGCTGCTGTCACTCAAGATGCGTTACACTGTCATTGGTTCTAAACTCTTGCTGGTCGGCCAGTTTCTGCCAACTGGCAAGTACCGGCTATTTCCGAGTAGAAAAGTGAGAGTGTACAGGAAACAAACATAAGAGATCTGGAATATTTGGGCTGACGCTTGTACCTGAGCGAGCTGCGAACTCCACCGCCGCCGCGACGAATCGGCCTCTTGGCTGGGGCTTTTAGCCAAAAAGAAAGTGACTTAGCAGGGAACTGGTGCACAGGCGACGGAGAAACCTGTCAAAACTTCACATATTCATGCCAGTGAAGATGACAGTGTTGAAGTTGCCAGAAACAGCACTAGAAGTCCGGGAACTCAGAGCACCTCAAGCTGTTGGAGTCAGCGTAGCAGACTGTCCGAGTTGACATTTCCTATTGTTGCCGGAAGTGACGTTCGAGTTCTGACCCTTAAAGAAGCATTTCAATTCCTGCTATTTCACATTCGCCATAGACTCCTTGTTTCTCGTTTCGAGGTCTGAGCCACTCTAACCATCAAAATTATACTTACTTCTAAACTGCAACTTAATATCGAATATTGGCCATTTAGGAAGCTCTCGATGAGTCACGTCTTCTCAGGGTCTGGACGAACGCCGTATGGAATCTGCAGGGCGGAATTCGGCCGCTTTGAAGATATCGCCGCGGTGCCTGGCGGGCTTGAATCCGCCGCTGCGAATACAAACGGTCGGCGCGAGAACCGCGCCCGGGCGCGGGGAGTGGCAGCTGGAGGCCGGTTCCTCCGGTTACTTATGCTTCCTCCCCCCCACCCCTCCCCCGTGCTGGGCTCTGCCGGAGCCCTTGTGAGGGCGCTTCTTTTTTCGGTTGCTGCTGGTGAACCCGAGGGAACTGGCCGGGGTGCGCCCTAGTTTGTTCAGAGATCGCTTCTCTCTGCTGTCCTTACGGAGACCCCCGGTGCAGACAAATTATCAGGTCTGTGTTTTCGTTCATTTAGATTAAGTGGCGAGAGGGGAGTCCTAGATTTGACTTGCCTGTGTACGCAGCTCGTTATAACACGAAGTAGGAGGAATCATGACAGCTAATCCTCTCAAATTTGGGTTGTACTTAGGGCTGGGAATTTATTGACCGATTCCTATTGGTCCCTCTGATCTGAGCATTAGTCTGGCTCCTTCAAAAAGCTGACTATAAGGAAGAGTTCCAAGTAGTTTGTGTTTTCCTTACCTGTATTTTCTTGGTGTTTCAAATATTTCTCCATCTTCCTATCTTCGTCTTCCAATCCTGAAATCTTAATTCTTATTTGATCTGAAATTATGGCTGTCCTAGACTATTTTCCAGAAATATTTGCAAACCAGTTAACAAGTTTTATATGAGCACAGCAGTGCCACTAAGCTCTTTAACTGAAGTGCTTTTTCTTTCCTCAGCTTCTCTTACCTGTTGTAGCAGTAGTTGCCTCACATTTTTTTTTTTTGCAAAAAATCTTCATATATTTAATTTTTACTCATCTTTGTTCCTCTGACACTTTTTTAGGTGATACAGAGGGTTATGAGCTATACACTCCTAGCCATCCACCGTTACAGTCAGTGTAGTTGCTTCATTCTGAACGGAAATCACAGAATCCAGTAACATCCCACTGACAGTCATTTTAATGACTTAAAACTGCCATGACATTGAATTGGGTTAAAAATCTTAAACTACTGTGGTGTACCATTTCAAGGCGTCTTCCATAAATTCATTTGAGCAATTTGACTTGTAAACAACTCTGGAGGAAGCCAGGAAGCAGCAATATTGATAACTTAAAGATGGAATGTGGTATAAGGAGTGTACTATCTCCTTTTTAAAAAAAATTTCTTTTGATAAAGATTATAAAGTAAAAATGTCAATCAGTTTCTTCAAAGTAAAAGTTATTTTTCATTTCTAGGTTTACTGTTGAATATGCACAACCAATAGATTGGCTATTTTTAATATCTTAATTTTATTTTCCAATATTTTAACAATTTTTTCAGTAAAGCCTTTCTTGAAAATGAACAGCAGTAGCTGTAAATCTTTTTCTATACTGCTCACGTTTATTAATCCCTTTATTTTTCCTATATTTTTATTACTGATTTCACCTACAGATCCAAACTGTCTTGGTATTTTACTTGTCTACAAAATATTTATTCTGCTCTTACTGAAAAGGATGTGTTCCAGGGAAATACTTTGCATTCAAAAATTTCATTTCCAGGGTAGAAATAATGTGTCCCAGGACATCAGAAAAAGGAAAAATGGAAAGATATCACGGTGTTACACATAACAAAATTGCATGTACTGGAAAGATAGAGTGTACATTTGGAAGGACTAAGGGAAGAGATACACTTAAAAGTTAATGAATGTCTTATGGGAAGAAAGCACCTGAGAAGGATTGTGTTAAGTTACATAGTCCAGAAACCTAAAGCAAGCTAAGATCTACAAACATTAGCCAGTGGTGAAACCCAAACATAGATTTTTTTCAATTACAGCCAAATTAGTTTCTACTTCATCTTTCTCAGGAAAGTAAAGGCTGGTAAGAAAATACTTTTTTTCTTTTTCAGTACTAGGGTTTGACACCCAGGGCCTTCACACAGAGCTATATCACCAGCCATTTTTTATTTTGAGACAAGTTCTCACTATGTCGCTCAGGCTGGGCTCGAATTTGTGATCCTGCTTCAGCCTCCCAGAGTCCTGGGATTACAGGTGTATGCTACCACACCTGGTTTAGTCTAGAAAATCTTTTACTGCTGCCATGCGTCCATCTAACCCCAGACATCCTAAAAGATGTTAAGTAAGTTTGATCTTTTTTGGCCAGTACTTTGTATAATTTGATTTCAGGATTACTTCCTCTTTTTTCCAGTTATCTCCCATTTGATGGTACCTGAAAGTCCCTCTGCCTAAAAATGTAAATGGTCCAATTAATTGGCTGAGAAGTAGTGATTGAAATATCCATATGTAAAAGTGTAATCAGCAACTTGTTTTTCATCACCATGTGTTGGAAAAAATTGTCCCTTTTCCACTGCTACTCGGTATCACCTTTGACATAAATTTGTTGTCAGTGTATGTGTTACTGCATTTAGAGGTGCAGGAATCTCCTGGAGGTGGTTTCTAAGTTCTTTCTGTCCTTACCAGAGAATTGGTCAAGACAAGTACAAACAGTAGCAAAGTTTTATTGAAGGTAGGAAAAAGGCTCTGGAGAGCAAGTCTGGGCCAAGTAAAGGAAGGAAAGGAAATACACCCTACAGGGAGAGGGTGGACCACTATGCAAGAGGACATAGTGGCAAAGACTCAGCATGAACGACCTTTTTGTGTCACCCACTCCTCAGGCTGACATCAGATCGAAAACCTGCTTGAGTTCTCAAGAGATGACCATGTGCAGGACTTTGGGAACTGCTCTGCACATGTGTCTTGGGATTTTATTATTACCAAGTCACATCTGCTTCCCTAGTCATCTTTGCCATCTTTTCACTAATTCCAAATTTAGTTTTATAATAAGTCTTCCCGTACGGTGGTTTAAGTCCTCCAATTTGATTTTCAAGACTTTGTTATCCTTTAGCTTTTACATTTCCATATAAATTTTAGAATCAGCTTGTCAATTTCCAGCCCCTCCTTCAAATAAAAAAAACAAAACTGCCGGGTATTTAGCTCAGTGGTTCTGCCGCCTGTCTCACAAGCACAAGGACCTGAGTTTGAGCCCCAGTACCAAAAAACAAAGCTGCAGCTTTTCTTACAGTGGGTTTATCAGGACATAACTCACATCATAAATCGAGTAGTATCTATAATTTTCATTTTGAAATGATCTTTTATTTTATGCATTGACTGTACTCACCAAATCTTTCTTCCCTTAATTTGTTTTATATTGATTTTATATTCAGTTTTAAGCATGAGTCCCTAAAAAAAGATGCATGGCTATAGCTTGTGTACAGATGCACTTTGCTCCAAGCTTATTGGATCTGACCCTGACCTTTTCATTGGAAGCCTCCCTCAAATGTCAGCCTAGTTTTAAGGTATTTTTTCCCTAGGTTTTATCTACTCTGCCTAAAGTAGAATTTGCCAATCTGCTACCATAGAGGATATAACTAGCAGTTTGTTGAAGCTGAGGTATACGAAGAAATTATATTTTTCTTTGTTCCATATTCTTTGCCTTGCTTGATAGTTCCAAATTTGATACCTCTTTAGTTCAATTTCTTCAGACTGTAAAACTCTGTTATTTTATCAAGGAAGTAAAGAGGTAGTTGCTTAGCTGAATAAGTTATTGGTGAACCCAGAATTATTTTTAACTTACTTATTTTTATTTTTAAAAACGGCATCTGATTGGCGACTATTTGAGGTCAGAGCTGTAGGGACAATGACCATTTCTATGCTAAATTTCTTTTTTGTCTCTATTTTCACTGATAGTATTATGTAATTTTCATTAGCATCTAAAATAAGCATTAATGGAGGTTATTTCAACTTGATTTGTCTTTCCAAATGATATTTTATTGTTTAAGTTTAAACATGTGGAAAAATGTCATGAATTATAATAACATGAATATAGGGGAAACTTATTTTTGTAAGGAAAAATGTTGGGGGATAAGGTGGAAACCTATTTTATGTTCAGGAATTTCTAGTAGATATACTCTAAGCAGGAAGTACTTGGCCAGTAGGGAAGAGAATAAGTTAGGAGAAATATAAATAGGATAAAATAAAATTTGGTAAGTGCTCATCAGAGAAATGTACAAAATAAAATAGAGAAACTTCAAAACATACACATACACAGATTTAAAGTGATTCATGGATTTTTATTTTTAGGTGAAAAATTGTATTGCAAGAATTGGAGCTGAATCTAATGTTAAATAATGGCAACAGGTGACTTAAAAAGAAGCTTACGGAAACTAGAACAAGTGCTTCGCTTATTAAATTATCCTAGAGAGGTGGATTATGTTGGGTAAGCTATAATATCAGATTTATTTGTTGTATTCTTTTTGCTAAAAATTTGAAATACTAAATGACATGGGAGGTGTACCTAAAGAAAGACAAAGATTTTTGTCTAGCTCTTATTTAAATTTACTTTGAAATGTTCAAAATATTTTGGAAAGCAGTCAATTCAGAAAGTTGTTTATAGATATGAATTAATGAAAAATTCCAACCCAAGAATTTAAGATACGTTTATAAACATGGTATGTGTCAATATAATGTATTATCTCTATAATTTCAAACTTATAGAAGTATAAAGGATTTTATTACTCTTATAGCCTACCACTCTCATTCAATTGGATGGTATTTCTCATTTTTAAATAAATCTATAATGAGCAGAGATTGCTACTATTTTTTATCAGTTTTTCTGTTCATTCATTTATGGAGCATAGACTTTATACATTTAAGCCATATGTTCTTTTTGATAGGGAAGATTCTGGTTAGCAGGATTTCTTATGGCAACCTGTGCTATCCTTGAAGATTCTTATACAGAATGTAGCAATATATACTTTTCCTATATTTATGCTAATCTAATATGATACACTTTATTTTGGTTTTATTTGTTTTCATTTTTGAGACATAATACTGCGAGGTAGCCTAGGCTGTCCTCAAACTCACTATGTACCCCAAGCTGCCCTTGAACTCCCAATCCTCCTGCTTCAGCCTCCCAAGTACTGGGATTATAGGCATATGCCACTGTTCTTGGCTTTATGCCTTTCTCTGTATTAAAATTTCTGGTTCTTCATTTCACATACTCTTACCTGTCATCATTGATTGATTTATTAATATTTCCCCACTAGAATATAAGCTGAGGTCTGGGACTTCGTTTTGTTCACTGTTGTGTCTCCACATCTAGAACTGAACCTGATAAGAGATTGAGTGAATGGACAAGTATCGAGAGACAAGTCCAGGTTAGGCATATATTCAAGTATAGAGTAAAACTTGGTTATACCAGCTACTCAGTAATGGTTTTACCAGCTAGCTCAAGTAATGGGCTTTACATCTAAGTGTGGATATTGTGGTTATATACTGGGGAGAGCTAAACCCAAGAGAATACTATGAATGAAAGGAGAATAAAAAGTCCAGTTACGGTTATTACAGGTATCACATGTGAGAAACAGAAGTTAGGAAACAAATATAATCGATACTATGTGCATATCATCATTTTGGTTTTATTTGTGTGTGTGTGTGTGTGTGTGTGTGTGTGTGTGTGTGTGTGTGTGTGTATGTGTGTGTGTGTTTGCTTGCAGTACTAGGAATTGAACACAGGGCCTTTGTACAGAACTACATCCCCAGCCCTTTTTTACTTTTTGAGACAGGGTCTCACTAAGTTGCCAGGCTGGGCTCAAATCTGTGATCCTCTTGCTTCAGCCTCCCTGAGTACTAGGACTACAGGCCTGACCTTCTGGTACCCAGCTTGTACCTATTGTCTTGGTTCTTCAAAGTAGGAAAATCTTGACTATCCTGGATTTCAGGGACTTAACCAGATTGGGTAGAGAAGTTTTCTTGTCATCACTTTTAAATATCAGCATTTAAAAATACATTTTAGATAGGAATGATCGTAAAATGTGCCAATATTTTCCTGTTTTCTGTGTAGTATTTAAACATTTTTCTTATTGACCCAAGACTATCATTAAGAATGATACTTTTTAGATTATTCCACAACATAAACTATTTATAAGATCTGTTTAGATAGCTAACAATAACTGCTTGGAAAACTATGGTGTTCTTGAGAAATAAAGTGGCTAGCACTACAACTGGACTGTTGGCACTGGACTATTAGACTAGACTGTTGGACTATACTGTACTAAGTTTTTGAGCATACTAAGTGATGGATAATAGTATTGGATAATCTTGCTAGAAAGATTTAGAGTTGGAGGTAGACTCTGGAGGGACATGTATCACTCAGTTATTATGGCTATAGTGTTGTTTATTGATAATATTTTTAATACTTCCTTCATTATAAAACTTTAAGAATTATGCTCCTTGAAAGCCTTTCTTTTTTCCCTAACAGTTTGATAAAGGGAGACACAGCAGCAGCTTTGCCCATCATCAGCTATTCTCTTACCTCGTACTCACCCTTTGTAACAGAACATCTCATGGAATGTAATGTAGAGCTCCTAGCAAAGAATGACCTGCGCTTTACAGATACTGTCTATAAGGTATTTTGAACTTATGAAGTAATAATTATTTAGATGTTATTTTTTAAAATCAATATTTTAATAACTCCTTAAATACAGTTACATATCACTTAACAATGGGCATATATCCTGAGAAATGTGTCAGTAGGTGACTTTATTATTATGTAAATATCAGAGTATGTTTACACAAATTTAGATAGTATAGCTTACTACCACACCTAGGCTATATGGTATGTTAAACTTATTGCTCTTAGGCTACAAACTCATACATGTTAGGGTACTGAATACTATAGGCAATTGTAATACCAGTAAGTATGTGTGTATCTAAACATAGAAAAGGTACAGTAAAAATAGTAGGCAATAGGGGGCCAGGGATTTAGCTCAGTGGTTCTGCCACTTGCCTCGCAAGTGTAAGGACCCGAGTTTGATCCCCGGAACCAAAAAAAAAAAAAATTACTAGGCAATAGAACTTTTTCAGTTCCATAGTAATTTTATATGACCACTGCTGTATACATGGTCCATCATTGACCAAAATGTTTTAAATATGGTACATCACTGTGTATGCAGTACATATAGTTTACAGAATATTTTATATGCATCTGTCTCATTAAAATCTCTATTGAAATCAATTCAAGTTTGCTTTGTGAATGTTTTCTACTCTAATAATTACGGCAACTGGTAAACATTGGTTAATAGCTATCATTTGCCCTTTTTCTATCAAATTGTAGTAAAATTTGGTCTACTGGCAGAAGTTAGAAAGAACTATAACTGGGCCAGGGATTTAGCTCAGTGGGCACCGTACCTGGCTTGCAAGCACAAGGTCCTGAGTTCAATCCCTGGTATCAAAAAAACACGAAAAGAACTATAACTACATTCAGTAAAAGTTGTAGTTCATGGAAGTATTAGCTGAAGTAATTATTTGTAAGAAAAGACTCAAACTTTGGGATAATTTGCTCTTTGAAGTCTGAGACCAAGTCTTATATCTTATATCAAGTCTTATATCTTATTTCTTCTATATGAATACTGAATTTTAAACTCATATTTGACTTTTTTTAAAAACCTATTTTTATCATTTTTGTCAAATACTATGGTTTTCTGAAACTTTTTTATGGTATAACCTATTTATCAAATCTAATTTTTAACAAAGAGAATTGCACTTGATGAAATAGGAGCTTTATATATAGTCTCTATTTAATCTTCCTGTTTTTTTGCCACTAATACCAGAAGGGTTTCATAGAAGCCTAAGTGGCACTCTAAGAAATTCTAGGATTCCATGTAGCAGAACTATGGAAACTATTGGCCCATTTACAAATGAGAGATTGAGTTCAAAAGGCCTCTTGACTTATCTAAAATTTACATAGTGGTAGAATAATTAAATACAACTGTAGGTTGCTGACATCTAGTATGGTATTCTAATGAGTTAAGGAATTTTTCCATTACCTCTGAAGATATTTGAACTTTCTGACAGTTGACTGTGTTTTGCCATCTCTCTGGCACATCCCTAGCCACCTGCTTTCTACCTGGATACCTCTCCTCCTGGGTTATGACTCACACAGCTCTGTAAATCTCTTCAGTAACCTTTAGTTAATGGCTTGATCCACCTTGTCCTCTCAAAGAAAGCTGTTACTCTTCCTGACCAGGTGACTATTTATCATTTTGAATTAAGGAAAGAATTGCTCCTAATTATTATATAAGTCTTTTTCCCCTTTGCAGCTTCTTCGTGATCAATTTGATTATAAACCAATTTTGACAAAAGCGCAATTTATGCAGCATGGGTTCGCAGAATGGAAAATCCAGATTATTTGTGATATTTTGAATTGTGTGATGAAAAAGCACAAAGAATTGACTGGTGTTAATAAGGTAATTTTATGAATGGATTTTACTGCTGACTTATGCAAAATGGCTCAGTATTTTGATACATGAAATCAGTACACTAGCAAATTATTACATAGTGTAGTTATTACATTATTCAAAGTTTTGGGTAACCTTATAAAGTTTCATGTTTGCTTTAAATGCTACTCACTGTACACATCTGTGACTTGGAACTGCTAGTGGTAAGCTCAAAGATAATGCATTTTCATCACTTATTTTTTAAAAGACATAGTTTCATTAGTGTCGTTATTTGTCACTTATATTTCAGAAGTGAATATTTAAGTGATAGTGGAATTTACATTATGTTTTCACACAAAATTTGTTATGTCTAACACATTATTGTTGATTTTTAGACTCCTTCACAACCAAGAAAAAAAATCATTTCTGCTTATTCAGAGCCTTCATCAAGCAATGAGAAAGCACCTGCAGAACCTGTTGGCTTTGATGTCACTGGCAGATTTATGACTTCAGGAAAGGTAGAAAAAACACAAAGAAAACATGTCATGTAGTATAAGTTATCTAATTAATGAATCTGATATGTAAGATTCACTTCTCTGTCTAGCACTTGATGACACATCACTATACTACATTATAGTGATTTTTTTAACAGCAAGTACCATTTATTCTTTGAAAGACATTCCTGAAGTTACAAGAAAAGCACAAATATAAAATCAACTAAGCTTTCTATTTCTAATTTCAATTCTACCTCATTTCCCAGGAAAATATTGACGATTTATATAGTTATATTATTCAGTTATCCACACTATTTATTATGTATCTGGTCTTCTTAAAACATGAGAATATAGTATATGAAAAACCTACCCTTAGTAATGAAGATGGTTATGTGTAGGGAACAGGGGAAGGGGACATTACTAGAACCTCTGCAGTAAGTCCTAGTCTCCTGCAAGCCAGGGCAGCACATGGCGAATTACAGGAAAGGTAGACAAATGAGAAGAGAAGAAGCTGAGCTTTGTGAATATGTAGATTTCAGTACTTCTCATTGGGATAAGCAAGGAGTAACAAAAGGGGGAGGGGCTGCAGGGGTGGGGGCTTGGAAATCTAAGAACAATGAGCAACTATGCAGATGAAGATTTGGTTCCTCCCAGGGTGTCTCCTGCAGGTGTGGTCTTGTCCTGGAGCATTACAGCATCACGGGATCATTGAGATCTCAGTTGTGACCTGAGGCCAAAATGGAATTATGTCTTGGAATGCCATAGCTGGCCTGTAGGTGGAAGAACTAGGCCTAATCAAATGATTTTTCCCTAGAATTATGTAGCATTGCTCCCAACAGTTATGATGATTCATTTTTATACATTGATATTTCTGTAACCAGGAGTATGAATTGTCTAACAGTTGATAAACTACAAATGTGAAGTGTGGTTTGGGGTTAGTGTTTTGAATATTTTCCTTCTTTGATATCTTTGCCTTTGTATTCATTGTGCATATGTGGTGAAATTAATCCAGTATACTCAGGGATATAGTTTTTCCATGTCCAAGAGAGATTTAAGCCAAAATATTATTTTGTAGTGATAAATGTACTTTCAGACATCTTGCATTTGTGGAAAATTTTATAAGATTGAAGGATAGAATACCAGATGAATAATCAGTATGTAATAAGCTAAAGGATATGAAGTTTCTGGCTGAAGTACTGTCTAGGGAACTCTTTCTACCTGAATCCACTCTAAATGACTTATAAAAATAGAATATATTTAAAAAATTTCACACTTTTTAAAGTAATTTTACCCTCAAAACAGGTTCTTGTGCCAATAACTTTTTTAAATGTGCTTGCTTTGCTCCAAGTAATGAGGGCAATAAAAAAGGAGTTATAAGAGGCTTAAATTCTGCATAATTGTGCATATTTCTCATCTGCTTGCATCTCTAAGTCACCTCTTACTAGTTTTGTATGATCTTATTTTCCAATTATTAAATGATTTATATTGTGTATAAATAGGGATTTTCTGAACTGGTTTTATTTACCTTCATTGTGCTTAGCACAATACTAGGTATACTTAGGTACTTATTAAGTGTAAGTTGATATAATATTTTTCTCAATCTTTTATTTTCAATATAGGGGTTCTAGGGTAATCTAAGTTGCTCTAAGAAAGAAAAATGCAACATTTTGAGACATTAGACCTATTTTCAATATTCTTAAAGTTCTTGGTTTCCCATCAAAATTAAATGATCTACATAAGATTTTTAAATATCAAGAACCTGAGTGAATATTAAAAGTTCTCAGATTTATAAAAGTTACAATCAGGGCTGGAGATTTAGCTCAGTGGTTCAGCCGCCTGCCTCGCAAGCATAAGGTCCTGAGTTCGATCCCCAGTACCAAAAAAAAAAAGTTACAATCCACAAGTAGATGTCTTTGTTTTTAGACAAAAATTAAGTCAGTGCCACAGCAAAGTGTCTCCTTCTCAATGTCTTATACAAAATGCTGTTTGTGATTTTTTTTTTTTGTCACATATACTAAGTTCTATAGTAGATATTCAGACTATTTTTAGAGGAAAAATAGGCAGAAGAGCCCTGTTGTATAAACTACATAGTTTGACCCAAACTTTTTTTGTCATGATTTTCCTTTTGACATGAAATTTGAGTTATTTGCTAAAGGTCTAATATATTGTGATTTAATAGAAATGATAATGAGTTCTCACATAGCTAGTTCTTTATTATTTATTTGTAAGTTATATGAAAACTTTATTATGGAACATTTAAAACATCTGTAAATATCTGTCATCCAGTTTCAGCAATTTATCAACTCTGCCAATCTTGTTTTGTCTTCATTGTAACCACTTTCCCCAACGTTTTGAAAAATTCAAACAGCTTTAAACACTTCAGTATTTTTTCTAAAATACAAAAATGCTTTTAAAAGTCCAAACTATAATTTCATCATCACACATGGAATATTGTAATAATAGTTCATAACATTTTGATATATACATGAATTGTGGTAATTTAAATCTTTTTAAATCTGTAAAGTAAGGCTAAGTATTCTTTTTTGCAAAATTATTGGATGTATGTTTAAAATAGTGGTAGTAAAACCACTGAAGTATTTCTTACATGTTTGTCTCTGCAGAAGAAAGCTGTGGTGATTCGTCACCTGTATAATGAAAACAATGGTAACATTCCGGAAGATACAGAATGTTCGGTAACAGATGATAATGAAGTATGTGATGCATCAGACTTAAAGGCTTCTGAAATAAAGGTTACTGAAGTGCAGGTCCTTGAAACCAAGGCTGAGCAGGAAGTAAGAATTTTGAACTTTTTAAAAAGACCAAGGTTTCTTACTTTGATGTCCATGATTAATTCAGCATTTAAACTTTGGAATATTTCTAACTTGGAATTATTAATCATGACACATTACCTGTGTTATTACTTAAGAATCATTAAATTTTACTGAATATAATTTAACAGATGTTATTTCACTTCTGTTTAGAATTTTGGCTATGTGTTGTGAGTAATGCAAGGAAAGGTAAGACATGATGTGGCTTCAAGGAATTTATAACCTAGTAAGATAGGTATCTACATTTTGTGCAGTGGAGATGTTCTACCACTTATTTCCTACATTCGTGAATGGAAAATCTTGGTACTTCATTGCCCTGTCATTTTCATTTTCCTTTCTTGGTTCTTGCTACCTTTTTCTGTCTCTAAGAGTATCATGCTTATTATTCTTTATTGCCACAAATCCCATTATGTGTCTAATTGCTGTTTCTGCTAAAACATCTTATTCTATTCTTTTTCTATGTTCTCTGACATCTGTTCATCTTAGTATATAATTGACAATTTATAAAACCTACCAGATGGCCATTAGGGCTGTTACCTATTACAAGATACAATAAATAATGTCAGTGCACTGTCATTGTAGTTATTTCCTCTTGGCTTCATGCTAGCAATCTTACAAGAAGCTAGTTAGTATTGGGGAGCTTGGTACTGGGGATCAAACTCAGGACCTGGCTCTTGCAAGGGCCACTGAGCTAAATCCCTGGCCTGCTAGTTAGTATTTAGTGACAGTTTTATTGTACTACCTGGTATTAAGTATATTATGCATATTAACTCACAATAAACATATTAAGTAGATACTATTGTTATCTTGTTGTTGTTTTTTGTTATCTTGTTTTTTAAATGAAGAAATGAGGGCATCAAATTATACTTCTCAGATGAAGTAGTTTACATGTCTAAGTAGTCTGTCCTCACCAATAGCTCTCTTAATTCTCATGCTGTACTACCTTTCCTAACTACTGAAATAATAGAATGGAAGTTGAAATACATTGATTTTAAAGGAACTTCAGCTTATATATTATTGTCTCTAATCTTTTTAATCATTTCAGGATATAAAAAGTAAACCAGAGATTACTACACTACAAACTATGCTTGCTGAATGTCAAGAAAAACTTAATAAGTTGACTTGGATAGAGAAAAGGCTAGACTCTTTGGAAGAAACAATGAAAGGGAAAGTGATAGTAGATGAAAAAACCTGGACTAATCTTTTAAGTCGGATCACTCTTCTTGAAACAGAAATGCTTTTGTCTAAAAAGGTATTTTCTTTCCTTGAGATGTATAGCATATCTTAGATAAGTAAAGTATTCCTTTTATTATGTGTGTATTCTTTTGGAAATACTAAATATGATAATACTTAGATAATGGGGAAATGTTTAATTAGAATAAAGTCCTGTTTAAATGTGGCCCACTTTCTTGTTCTTATTATGGCTATTTTTGTCTTCATCAACTAAGATAGTCTGAGCTTTTAGTTGATAATAGAACTTGAAGTGCTCAAACTGAGGCAAGAATATACGTGCTTTGTTTATGTAAACTTTCAAATTATTTTATATCTTAAATAGCACAAATGGTCTTTCCAGTTTGCAGGAAAAGTTATAAAAGAGGAAAATTTACAAATACAACTCTTCTTTTTTTACTTACTAACTTCAGTCAAGATGTGAATTTCATAGAAATTTACCATTGCTTTATCAAGTCTGAGAAATGTATTTCTATTACCTAGAATTCAATTTCTGGTCTATCTTTTTTTTCCTACAGTAAAGTTGGTAGATTCAAAATATTTACTATCTGCTTGCACAGTTAAAAGATTATTTCTCATACAGAGGAATTCTTATGTATTGCTTTGTAAATAAAGTTGCTTAAGTATTTCTTGTACTATTGTTATATTTTATGATTGGCCCTATAAAATGAAAACACTTTTCATTTTGTTCTAAATATTTAACCATTTTCCAGAATGAATATGTAGAGTTTAATGCAATGAGTGACGACTATGTTTCCAGTAGTGACATAGATCTGGTGACTCCTGGTAAGTTCTTACTGGTATGAGTATTGGTGGTATGCTAGAGGGCTTTCAGAAAAGGAATATTTTGCATAATTTTATTATTCTCAAGCCTTATTTTTATTTTCTAAAAATTTCAAATCTTCTAGAACAAAGAAATTAACGAATGTATAGGTAATTAAAGCGAAATATTGCTTTATGAACTTCTTACATATCTTAGATAACATAGATAAATAAATTTCATTGTATAAAGTTGCAAACTTTTAAGAGACATTTTAGTCTTTTAATCATTCTAGTATAATAAAGTGCTGTAAAACAACAAAAATAGACCTCTAGAATTTCTAATTTTCAAATATAGGTAATAGCATTCTTGTATGTGAATGACATATAACAGAAAAAAATTTTTAGTAACCTGTGAAGTATTCCAAATCTCTTGCATTCAGGCAGTTCATTGATGGTCTCTTCATGTCATTCAACTTCATAGTGATATTTTCAATGTGACAGAGCAAGAAGGATCTCTTCTGTTTTTCACCAGCAGCTTTTATTCTTTTGATTCTCATATTTTTTGAAAAAACAAAGGTCTAAATTTTCTCATTTTTATATTAAATCATTTATAAAAGAGAGTTTGTACAATTCAAAATTCATGACATTAAATTTTAATATATGTGGGTGTTCAACATCAACATCATTATATCTTTAAAGTACATATAACAATAGTAACAATACATTATGGCACTATGTGCTGGCATTGTTGTAATTACTATATTAATCTATTTAATTCTCAAAATAACCATACAAGATAAGTACTGTTATTATCTGTACTGTATTTTATAGATGAGGAAGTGAGCTGCTGTGAGATTAAGTAACTCTGCCAAAGGTCACATTGTTATTGAATGAAGGATATTTTTGCATTCAGGGGACTGGCTCTGAGGTTTTTCCTTAACCACTGCATATTTAGTGCTCATGCCTATTTCATTATGCACAGAACAATTTCAGTGATTAGTCTATTAAATTCAGTCATTTGTGATGTTATTTTAGGTATTAAGTTTATTATAGACTACCAATTTCAGATTTAGTAAAATTTTGACTTTTTTTCCTTTGATTATTCATGCATCTATTCATAAATATTCAAGCTTAACTAAAGATTCCTGAGAGCACTATTGTTATCTTGTAGTCTATCTAGCAGGTAGAAAATATAACTTCTGTCTCTAATATCTACATACAGTAGAGTTCAAGTATTTATGTATTGAAAGAACATTGAATCTGCTATTTGCAAAACATTGCCTTTTTTGAACTCGATTTTGAATGTTTGAGCTTACTGTTTTTAATAACATTATTACTACAGAATTCAGTATATCTTAATCCTATTGAGAAAGGACATAGCTCAGTTTAAGCCACTGTATTCAGAATGACAAGATGGACCACTATCTGAAAAAGACTATAGATTATCAATAAGGTAAATAGCTGGTTTCATAGAGTTTATAAGCTAGCCTAGATAAATTAAAGGTTCAAGTTTGTAAAGCTGTATACATTACACCTTACATATGCATGCTACTTGGAAGCAGAAGGTTTGATTTCATTTGGATGCAGAGAGCAGTAATTGCCTCTCTAGTATTAGAATCATGTTCAATTGGGAATGATTTTTGTGAGGTTCTAGATTTGCTTTTCCTTTATCAAAATTACAGTGTTCCTCAGTAAGGCACCTCAGTGTCTCTGAGGTAGGAGAGCTTTCTAAGGACTGTACTTCTGTTGGATGATTTTAGAGAGGGTTTAAAGAAATTAGGACTCTTCTGATTTTGGTGCTATTAGGGAGCAGAAGTTTGAAGACTGATGATCAGAATGAAGTGGAGCTAAAATTTTCAGGGAAAACAAGCACTCATGTTAGTGGAGAGAGGGCTTATCTGGTCACTTTTGTGATTTACATAGCATCCTTGTTTTGTCTCTTCACACATACCAGGTTTTGTATTTTTCTGTTTCATGATCTCATATGATGTCGTTTTCTATGAAATTATTTATTTTCATTAGGGGAAATAGTAACTCGGGTTAATTGCTAGATACTACCAACTGCTACCAACTCTCAGTAGTGTGTTTTGTTTTGTTTTGTTTACTTTGTTTTATTCCTGTTTCCCCTCAGAAGAAAAGAATATATTATTAACCAAAGTATAGCTCTAAAAAAGAATGTGATTTGTTCCATTGTGATTTTAAAAAAGGTTACATGTAGGCACTTGAAGGAAGTTGAAGCAGAAGAGTAGAAAGACCAAATCATAGAGTTTACCCTGAAGTCATAGAAAGATTTTTATCAACACTTTTATAGTCTCAGATGAGAGTTGCTACTAAGGCACCAGTCATGATGATAACAAGCAGGTAATTTATTTGGGAGATATTTGGATGTTAAAATTGAAAAGCCTTGGTCTGATAGAAGTACAAGTGGTGAAAGAAAGGAAAAGTCAAGAGTGACTTTTTGTTTGGCCTCTGTGTTTGGATGGTTGTTCCTAAATAAGGAATTCAGGAGGAGGAGATTTGGGAAAAATGATGAATTCATTTCTGAATATAATAAATTATATATGAAATAATATAAAAATATTGAAAAGTTGGTTGATATACACATGGGTCCTTGATTTGGAAGTACTGCCTTACAAATTATTGAACAGTAAAAGACTCATCTGGTTCTCTTACTGGTTAAAGGTGTAATCCTCCAAGTCGGTGGTAAAAGATTAATGGTTATGTAAGAAGAAGTGGCTAGGTCTAGTGTCCCAAACCTTAGAACATTTCCTTTGTTCACAGGAATCTCTTAGCAGTCACCACTGAAGCTCTCAGATGACTAGCTTCAGGGGCCTGGTGTCAGGGGTGACTGGTTTCCTCTTTTTTTTTTTTGGTACAGGGGAATCGAACTCGGGTCCTTCCGCTTGTGAGGCAGGTGGCAGCACCACTGAGCTAAATCCCTGGCCCTCCCTTTTTCTTTCTAACCTGAATTTGGTTACCACTTCTTTTGATATCCCCTATGGCATGGCTTAAAAAAACCATGTTTTTTTTGTTTTGTTTTTGTTTTTTTTGTACTGGGGATAGAACTCGGGACCATGCGCTTGCGAGGCAGGCAGTGGAATCACTGAGCTATATCCCTGGCCCAAAACCATGATTTTTTTTTTTTTTTAATTCTTTTATTGGTACATTGTAGGTATACAACACAATTACATTTCTCGTTGGGAATTGTACCTTTACATGATGCATCTTGGTTCTTATTTTTTCCCCATTCCTAGCCCTCCCTTCACCCCCTCCACCCTTCCCTATTTACAAAGACTTTATTTCCATTTTTTCCATTTCTCATCATTTTTCCTTTCCCTTCTTCCCTTTCCCCTGCCCCTCCCACTACCCCTACACCTTTGGATCTTTTCTTCCTATTTTGCATTATCGATTATTCATTCTAATCATTGGTACATTTTAGGTATACAATATAATGACATTCATCATTGGAAATTTGCACCTTTACATACTCTCTCTTGGTTCTTATTTTTCACTCTTGCCCAGCCCTCCCTTCAGTCCCTCCATTCCTCCCTATTTACAAAGATTTTGTTCCTAGTTTTCCATTTTCTCATATTAATCCCATTCCCTTCTTTCCTTTCCCCTAGCCCTCCCACTTCCTTCCCCTTTGCCCTTTTTCTTCCTATTTCACATTACCTATTATACATTTAGTCCTTATTTACACTTTCAGTTTCTCACATGAGAGAAACTATTTGGTATTTATACATGTGTGTCCTATTTGTTTCACTTAAGAGTATCGCCGCAATGTACATCCACTTAGCTATAAATGTCTCTAATTTCTCATTTTTTATGGCTGAGTAGTACTCCATTTTATAAACAAACCACATTTTCTTTATCCAGTCTCCAGTTGATGGGCATTTGGTCTGTTTCCAAGTTTTAGCTATCACAAACTGCTGCTATGAACATGGGCACACATATATCACTGTGGTATGATTCTTTTAATTTTGGGGGGCAAAACCATGATTTTTAAACAAATAAGACTTATAAAAGGCTCAGGAAAGCAAGGAGAAGAATTGTCACTGAAAGTAATATGCACTTAACTGATCTGGCTATTAAACTCATGGCTGGTGTTCTGTCTATGCTCCCTGGAGTCCCTTAAGGGGCTGTCTCTTTGAATAATCTGCCAGCCTACTTAATACTAGATTTCTTCTACTAACGAAGCACATCCCTGCCCAGAACATTGGGCCAAGACAGCCATTCCTTCACCCTTTGTGCTGTCTATCTTCACAGCTCTGGCTTCTTCCTCCCTCCCTCTTTTTTGGATTAACATAGGAAATACTCACTACCTTCAAAGGACACCTGTCTGTTCCCATAGAAAATAAGAAAAGATTTAGGGCATGATAGTTCCTTCTTAGTTTCAAATTACCCCTTACAATTACCTGTTAGCCACAGCTCCTGCTAAACAATCTGGGTCTAGCTAGTTTTCAGAGTTGTGATCTTGACCCCTACGCTCAGCCAACTGGGTCAAGAATAGGCACCTAACCCAGCAAATAACCAATCCCAAAAGCCATACTGCATTCTCCTTTAGGATTTGGAATTAGGAGACCTAATTGAAGTTGTGAGAAAAGGCTTACAGTAAAAGTTTTTGTGTAAAACAGTTTAAATGGGTGTCTGATTTTCTGGGGGGAAGTGGGTTGTTTTCACAGCCAAATTTACTCTAAAAGGCAGGGCAGGATGTATAGGATTAATTTGATAGGAGCATGTCTTATCTCTGATGGCCCATAGTTGACTGAGTGATAGAAAAAAATGTACCAACATTTTGTCAAACTAATAATATCAAGATATCTGAAATGTTGTTTAGTTTTTTGGGGCAAAAAAAATCCTGTGTATTTTACTTGAATTTTAAGTATTGTTTTTCCATATGTGTCAACTTAAGATGGGATGTTTCTTGACTTTTAAAAGGTATATACTGTATAGTCAGTTTGATAATAATTGCCACTTACCACAGAACAATAGTAAAAAATTCCCTAGTTAATAGAATAGTAAAAAATCCAAGCATTGCTGGATAAAATCATCATGATAAATTCATCATATTTATTAGTTAATGTAAATTCCACCATTTTGAGAAAAGAGGCTTATGAATAAGTGGCTTATATTTAAAGGTAAATTACTGTTTTATTCAAACTGATTGTTAGTATAGTAGACAGTGTTGCTTTTTGCAATTTTTTTTTTTTTTTTGAAATATATGTTACGTAGGCTAACCTTGAACTCTCCTTTCTTCTACTTCAGCCCCCTGATTTGATTAGCTGGGATTGCAACCATGCACCATCAAGCCTGGCTGCCTTCTGTATTTTTTATGAGCCAATTTTTAACATCTAGATCTCTGTTTGTAGACAGGCTACTCTATTGAAAGAATACGAAAAATTCATATTTTGATCTATATCTGTAGCTATTTTAGATCAAAATATTTATATTTCTTCCATCTGTAAATAAAATTTTTAGATATTTGACACTACTGTAAAAGGAAAAGATAATTTGATGCTTAATTCTGTCTTCACAGATGAAAAAATCAAAATTGAGAGGCCAGCAAATATGCCTCTGTCCTCTGGTTATAATACAGAATCAACAAATTCAACTCCCAGAGCCTCAACTATTACTTACTGTGGTTTGAAAGATACTTCAGAGGTAAGAAAAACTGACAACTGCTTAGATGATTTCTTCCAAAGGTCAAGAAAACAATCAAGCATTGATTTTCGTCATATTCTATTGGCAAGAAAAATGGCAAAACTGTAAATCTTAGTCTCAAACATTCTCTGTGATGAATAAATAGTACTTAATGAAATGTTTCAGACTGTTTTATTTGTTCATGGTCCATTTTTGAGGATGATTTACTTAAAGAAATCACCTAAATTTGTTGCTTTTTAAATTAAAGGAAACAACAATCCAGAAAATGGAAAGGATGAAAAAAATGTAAGTAACAGAAATGGGCAACAGAAATTCATTTCTCTATAGGGAATTGTGTTGGATTGCAATATATATAGAATGTACATATGTGTTTCAAACCTTAAAGGTCTCTCAGTCAGGTGTGGAATTTCCTTCAAGACTCCAGTGGATAATAAATCCACCTACAGTTATGTGTTTGTAAGATGAGTCATTGTTTTGGTTTCCAACAAGTGATGTACAACAGTGTTAATGGAATTAACTCTGGATTAAAGAGTTCAAAGATATTTTTGGTTGGTAGTTAATGAAGTGTTATTTTTGATAACTGATTAATAAGAATAATAAACCTAGAGATGGATATTTGGAGACATTTTCACAGTTGTTAAAGTATCACTAATAAGTTATTATAAGGTAATGTTAGTCATGATACTTTTATCTAGTACAAATGACATTACATCTGATATTTAAAAGACTAGTTCAAAAGAAATATAAAGCAAAATTATATGAGAATACTGTATATAATTTTTAAAATATTATGTAACCAAATAAACTACATACAATAATTTTTTAAAGCTTGAAAAAACTACTGAAATAACAATGCACCAAGAATTGGCTAATTTTTTTCTCCTCTGGCCATAGTATAAAATTTACTAGTACTGTAGTACCTCTAGCTAAAAATAAGAAAAAATTCAAACTTATTTTAGATGCAAAAGCATAATTTTAACAACTTATATCCTGTTGTTCATTATGAATTATTTATTTACTTATACATCATTTATTTATTATATTTCAGGTTTGAAGAAACTGCAGAGTTATTAAAATGCCCAAGTCACTAATTGTAGAATTTTCTTCATGAATTTCTGTAGGACTTTGGCTACTGTACATGTTGTATATTTTAAGAACATTCCATATAATTTTAATATACTATAATATTTTTATTAAGAATTTGTATTCCTTTTGGTATATGAGTTTTTCCATTCATTATTGAATAAATACTTTGATATTTTTGAACTATTCTTATACTGATTACTCTCTCACTTTTCTTAGGAAAAACTTATGTGCTAGTACATTGCTTTTACAGAGTGAAGTCATTACAGCAAGCACTGCATTTTTGTGTTGACATTTGTTGGCAGTGTGCTAAGTAATATGTTTTTTAAAGTACAGGCTTGAGGATCATGGTTTACATCCTGTTGGAAGCATTCCAGCTAGGACTTGCATATTGTACCCAAGAGGCTCTCATACATACCGTCTTGCCATCTGTGCTGACGAAAAAGTTGTAATGAAAAGTCGGAAGTGCTCATTGACAATTAAATAAAACAAAAACACAGCTATTTCATGCTCAGTCAAAAAGTAGTAATATTAACATTGAGAAGGTAACAATGTAATTCTCCTTTTGTAGCAAAACAGGTCTGCAGATTCACTGTGAGAAATGTATGGAGTATTTTAGTGCTCTATTGTATGTCACATTTTAAGAGCAGCAGCACAGACCCAGGAGGTCCTCAGCCAGTGTTCAGAGATACACAGTGAGGTTTTCCTTTCTGTTTTAATGACAAGAAACTAAAATTTTTTGGAGTGTAAAAGCCTTAGATGAAGCTAAATAGACAATTAAAATCATTTTATAATTTTTATGTAAACATTTTTCTAACTTTGTAAATAAAAGTATAATCCTGGAAAATCAAGAAAATTGACTTATTGGGAGGGTAAAGTACTTTTCTTTTATTGATAATCTGATTATATTTTATTATTCATCTGTTTCTGTTATATAATTCAATATTCAAATATAAAATATTACCTTTAAGGTATAGGTAAAGACTTAAAGCATTTTTAATATTCTGATTAGTGTTTAGTCATTTAAAACTGAACTTTTATGTTAGCATACAGAAGCATACAATTTAGTATAAATTTACTTATCTTTTAATAGCATATGTAATGAATCCAATTAGATTTATTTTTCCAACTACATGAGAGGTACATTTATAAAAATCTCTTTTAAAAAGAGATAACTAGTATAGTCTGTTAGTGCATAAAGCATCAGTACCAGAATGGAATTATAGCACCACCTTGTGGTTAATGTGCCAATAGTTTATCTTTTGTTAAAACAAGTAGTTTCACATAAAACAGGATTTTTTTTTTTGGTACCAGATACAGGGATCAGACTCGGGACCTTGCGCTTCCCAGGCAAGTGCAGCACCACTGAGCTACATTCCCGGTCCATAAAACAAGATCTTATTTTAACTTTGAAAAAACTCAATTCCAATTTTACAAAGAAACATTTTTCAAGCTTTTTGTGGAAGACAAAAGAAAAGTCTCTTTGTCTCTAGCCTCCTTTTTTCTTTATATAAAGTGAATATACATACACTTGGATGATTTGAAACATTTCCAGTCTCCTAATTTACATATAATGTACAAAGCATAAGAATCTGCTGAAAGTCCAATAGAACATTACCTATGTATGTTGTCATGTAGAAATTTAGAATCTAGGTTTTTTTACGTTTAACAGTTTCAACAGGAACTAATAAAATCAATTCATAATAATAGCCATATGTTTACACTTACAAAGAATTTCTCTGTACTCGTTTAACAATATAATCTTTTGAAAAATAAAGCAAATTTGACTTCATTGAAGAGATTGCCAAATTATTTATTATGCTTTTTTAGAAATAGTAAAAAGTTTTCTGTCTTTGGTAATTTGGTTAAGTAGTTTCTAACAATAAATTAGCCCCTTTTGATTAGCTTGAAGGTCTTGAGAAAGTAATGCAAAAGGGTCCTGGAGGGGTTATTTATAGCTCCATAATTAAACCTTAGTTGATTGGAATGTTCACTAATTCTGACCTCTTAATTCTTCTGTAAGCTGGATAGAAAGTTATACTGCTAAAAAAAATCACTAGTCAGTGTTGCCCTGTCTGCCCTATACTCTCAATAGATCTGGATAAATGACCATATAGGAAAACTGAGGAATGCATCAGGTAACTGATCAGAAAGGGTTGAAAAAAAATTGCATCCACCAAAAGCAAAGCTAAGAATTATTGCATTGGAAAAAGTAGTTCTATTATATTTGTTTTACTCTATCATTTTAATGTGATGTTTTAACATGTAATACATTCCTTACAAAATAAAACTCAAAGACTTTGGAGCTATGTTTCATGCCATTCATTACAGCTTTATATAATTGACCAGCACTTGGGGAAGCATTAAAAAATAAAAGGACCTTGTCAATTTTACAAACTACAACACTGTTTTGAGCTGAAATAACATTATAGCTTTAATTTTTACATTTAATACTCCCCAGGTTTGTCTTTGTCCTTTCTTTGAAGCTGAAGGATACAGAGAGGGTGAAGTGGTGGAGGTAGTATGAAACTTTAAACTACAAAATTAAAACTTAATTGTTGTGTCACTTGAGCTTTAATATTTCCAGTGAAAATGGCAGGTTTCTTAAGCCACTTAAAGAACAAAAAGCTGGGAAACAGTACATTACTGATAGCAACATTAAAAACATGTAGATTTGATTTTTGTTTTTTGGTACCAGGGATCGAACTCGGGTCCTTGCACTGGCGCAGCAGGTGGCAAAACCACTGAGCTAAATCCCTGGCCCTTAGATTTGTTTTTATTAAAAAATTTAAAGATATATTTGGTGATTTATATTTTTTAATACTTGTAGGAATGGGAGCTGTAGAAGTGTATGTTTTTCTCCAAAGTCTATTAAATCACTAAAATTAAAAAAATATATTTTTTTGAGACAATGTCTCACTACGTTGCCCAGGTTGGTCTTGAAATTGTGGGCTTACCTGAACCTCCTGGCCTAGACTCCCAGTTTGCTAGGGCTGTACGCATGCAACACTATACCTGGTTCACTAATAAAATTTTTAAAATTTGATTTTCCTTTTTAGTTTCTTAAATGCAAAGTGTTTAACTCAACATTTTAAAATTTAGAACCGAGCTTATGTGCAATGAGCATAAAATCCACAAAATATTTAAGACTTTTTGTTGATAACTGACTTATTTTATTAATTGACCTTTTTTTTCTCTGTAATGTTCTCATTTGAAATCTACTTTCATACTAATATAGCATCCCAGCTTGCTTTAGAAAATGTTATTACAGTACTTATTTCCCATCTCTTAATATATCTGTAACTGTATTTAAAATAGATTTCCTGATGTTAACATGTAGTTTGATCTTGCTGTTTTACGGACTCCCAAAATCTAAAGGGTTTGGATCATTGCATTTAACCGGATTTTGGATTTAATGTACCACCTTTTATATGTTTACCATTTATTGTTACTTTTCTTTTATTACCTTTTTTCTGGATTCTTTTGCCTTAGTATGAGTATTTTTAAAGTTTTTTATTGACTTATAATAGCTCTGTGCATATGTGTGTATATACCTACACATGCACACCTGTATGTGCTTGCTCTCGTAATATGTATCATTAACTTGTTATATAACTTCAATTTAAGAAACTTAGAACAATCTACTTTCACTCTCTGCACAGGCTTTTTGGTCAGATATTTATTTCTACATGTGTATAAACTCCACAAAACATCTAATGTTGTAGTAAGTAGTCTATTTGAAGTCTAAACGTGTACCTACCATTTCAGGTGCTGCTTACTCCTTTTCCAGATCCACATTTTCTCCCAGTATTCCTTTTCCCTGAAGGGCTTCCTTTAAATTTTCTTATAATGGTAGTTTGATGATGAATACTAAAAATGATGAATAGTGAAAAAGCTTTATTTTACCTTGACTTTCAAAAGATATTTCTGTTGGATATTCAGTTTTAGAAGAATAGGTTCAATCTACAATGAACATCTCCTGTCCTTTGGTTTGCATTGTTTTTAATGAGAAGTTTGCTGTCTTTATTCCTTTATGGAATCCGTTTTCTATTATTGGATCTGTTTTGCTTCCCTCCCTCCCTCACTCCCTTCCTTCCTTCCTTCCTTCATTCATTTGATGTACTGGGATTGAACCCAAGGCCTTGACAGTGAGCTTTTTTTATTTTTATTTTTTACTTAAGAGACAGGGACTTTCTTGCTAAGTCGCTAAATTCCCCAGGCTTGGCTGCAACTGGTGATCCTCCTGCCTAGACCTGCTACAGTGATGACATTACTAATGTGTCACCATGCCTGGCTGCTTTCTTTCTTTCTTTTTTTTTTTCATTAAGTTTATCGGTACATTTTAGGTATAAAATACAGTTACATTCATCATTAGGATCTTGTACCTTTACTTGCTATATCTTGGTTCTTATTTATTCCCTTTCCCCTGCCCTCCCTTCACCCCCTCCACCCCTCCCT